CAACCTGTTTTCTGCGTGGAAGTAGAAAACCAGCTCAAGACAGAGCCATGAATCAAATAAGAGTATTCAATCTCACCAGAAGCTGCTGGCAACAGCAAATTCCTATATGGCATCAACATAAACACTTGAAAGCAGTAAGAGCAGCCTGACTCCACCTCTCTATCCTGGAGGGCTTTGGCTTTTCCCAACGTGGGAGTCGGGTGTATGGATACACAGGAGGAGCAGGGAAAGAGGGTAACACCAAAGGGAAGTCCCACTTTCAAAAAAAAAAAAAAAATACAGGAGGAAAGCTGCATTAGAGAAATAAGGCAAGTAAATACAGTAACAGTCCTGAACTCAAAGCAAGTCAGGCCAGACCCCTGTCTTATCCTGGCCTTAATTAGTTGCATTTTAATCAGTTGTTTTTATGTTCCAGGTTTGTGTCTCAGACCACCACCTAACACTTGGCAGCAGGGCTATCTATATCCACTAGACTGTAGATATGTTGCAGCCCTTCTCAAATGTGCCAGAATGCATACATTGTCTCCCACTCTGCCTGTCTTTCCCATCTGTACATCTTATCTTGGGCTATACTCTCCAGAGCAGGGACCACGTGCAGTCTGTTCTCTCCAACACACAGTATGATAGAACAGCGGGCATCACAGGAAAAATAAAATCTATTCTTTGATATAATGTATGTGATGACAATGGGTGCGTTGCAAATTTAAGCTATGTTATGCCAAGGAATGCGTGTTAATTATATTACAAAGTAAAATTAGGCAACGCAAACTTACTGGAAAAAATTCTTAATTATTTTGTTATTGCTGTGCTTGCCAGAATCACTTGCATACAACATAAGAAACCAATTCTAAACTAATTTTGAGCAGAAACTTTCTTCTGTAATTGCAGAATACTGTCCAATAAGCAAGAGGGGGAAAAAACACATACTTTAAACCACAGGAATTCTTAGTGAAATGGATGAAAGGATAATTAATAAGCAACATGTTAAATTTTGTTCCTAATATATAGATACACACACAGCACAGCTACTTCATTTTAGATTCTGCAAATCTCTCCATAATTCTCAGTATACCTTTAAAACAAAAAATCATGCCTCTAACATGAAAAAAAAGTGATCAATCATACAAACTCTACTTTTATCCTTTTAATCTAACCGCTTCACCAAAACCCCGAGAAGACTCGTTATAAATGGTCTTCCTTACAGCAGAAAAGTACTTAAATGATCATTAATTTATCCAGACCAGAGCTAAAGGCAGAAGGGCTCTTCCCTTTCGTATGGCATGGGGAACACAGGCTACGCCTAAATGATCATCCAGTTGCACTCCAGATGCCGAACTCACACTAACCTGCACCCACACAAAGAGCTGTTGTCCCATATTCCACTTTATATTTTTCACCACCGATTGCACACATCAAAACGGAGTGAAATAATACCAGGACAACATATAAAGTCCTTTGTTCCTGACTGTCAGTAGACACCTGCCTGATTTATCCCAGTCTCTTAAAAATAAAAAGCTTGCCTTAAGCCACTTTCAGAAAGTATCTTACATGCACAAAATAAACACTCCAGCAGTGATTTAAGCTAACCTGCTTGACTTTGAGGGCTGCTAATCCACTTCAGTACAGGCAGGTAGCACCACACAGCTGAGGAGTGACACCACCTTAAATCCCTTCCTAGCTTTGACTCACCACTCAAGAACTTTGACTTTATAAAGAAACAGACTTGAGACATTATTTTAAGCCACTACTGAAACTTCCTTCTTGACTACAAGGTCAAATTCATACACACAAAAGCATGCCAGAGTGCTTGACATGGGGATTAAGAAAGCCTTCTGACTCCATGTGGACTTGAGTCTAACCTGACCCCACAGAATGGGTGTATCAAAGGGGTAGCCATCCAGAAGGATCACTTAGCAGCACAATAACTTCACTAACGAACTACAGTAGTCAAAAGCAACTGCTTCGCAGAATATGGTCACCAACAGAATCAATATGTTCTGAAGTTGTAGAAGAGGGAAAAAAACCCCATACATCTATTTCCTACAACTTGAAATACGGTAAGCATACCAAAGTCTACCATGTTTCAGTTGACACATGGAAAAACTCATCTGTCTTTAGCTGTGGAGACAATTCTGTACCATCTTAATGTCTGGGGGAAGGGGAAGGTACTTTTTTGTTTAGGTTTGGGGTGTGTGTATATATATATATATATATTCAAATACACACACTTAGATTTTAAACTAACAAAAACATCCATTATAGGTGTCTAACTGTGATACATTTATTTAAATTGATGTAACTTCTCGAGATGTCTCTCACAAGGTTTTCCCCCCTTCCCCCAGACTTCCTGCCTTCAGAAAACAGACATTCACTCTGGATTATTTAAACTTGGAAAAATGCAAGTGTTTTCTTTGAAAAAATATCCATTGTTACAGCAAAAACTTGGGTTTCCTTTCAAGCAAGATCATATGATTACGCGTTTATATTTTACTTTCCGCAGGAATTTACACACCCCCCATTTGCATCCTGTTATTCATTTAGCGTTTCCCTTTACTTCAGCATGCTGCGTTAATAAACTGGACCCGTTGGCTCAGCCCAGGCACTCAAGGTGACAATCAGTGCTCCCCCTTGCATTCGTCAGATTTATTCTATAGGCCTTTCTGCATATATTTAACTACACAAATCGTTCCTTCAGAAAAGCAGTCGTGTGAGAAGCACTGTATAGACAGAGCGTGAAACTCTGACCTAGGGGTTTTCAGGGTATTTTTGTTACTTCTGTACTTCAAAGCACTAATTTCTCTCTTGGAGATTAAGTTTCAACTGAAAGAGATTCCATGTTATTTAAGTACATTAAAATAGTATAAAAGATCTTATTTTCAATACTAGATCTGTCATAGTTATAGACTGGTTATTCTCGTTTATCTTTAGTCATTGATGTTAGCCTTGAAACACCTTCAGATAGATACTGATTACTAATCTCATTTAGTCCTACAGTTCAAAGGTCTGAAAAGTAGTAGCAAAAACCCTTTTTCTGCTAAAAAAAGGTTAAGGCAGTTTCTATTGAAACTATCCGAGAGTATAAATTAACCTTGCTTCATCTTACACTTTTCAAAGTATCTTGCACAAGATAAGCCACATCAAATTATTTATGTTTTCATATTTACCAGGCTTTTTTATTTTATAGGAAAAATATTCTACTGTAACGCACCTAGTATACGCACTTACTTTTGCAAATCAATAGTCTGCTACTTAATTCATAATAACACAATTAAATACCCTATACTTTACAGCTGTGGTCCAGTATGATAGCATTAGCTACATATGTTAGACTGCTGTGGATACCATCCTAGTAGTATGCTACTGAGCTGAAAGTACAGGTTAAATTTGCTTCATTTCTGATCCACAGTGATTTAATTGCAACCTGAAATGCAAATGTAACTTCTTTGCCACTACCACACACCCAACATCACCACCCTAAATGGCTGAAAGCTACCTTCTCAGTCAAATTAGAAATGAGCCACTGATGTAAATTTTGGTGTGAAGTGATTCTGGCTGTCTCTTTACAGCCAAAGCTGTGCATTTTCTTTCCCTGTATAGAAATCACAGTCTTAAATCCCTTTATTCCATGACCTTTGAGCACTTTTTTTTTTTTTTTGAGTGGAGGTGAACCAAAACACAGGCACTTCCATTGCATATAAAAAAAATGAAATTTCCTATTATCACCCCATCCCAAGTAAGGCAAAAAAATTGCAATCTTGTATTTGTTTCAGAATCCACAATTTTTCAAAAAAAGTTTCATGGAGAGTAGAACTTCCTCTTCAATTCAGCAAGAGAGTGCAGAAAAGCCAAATCATTTGTTTTACAGCAGTCAACCCGAGATAATGTCTTACAAAAGACTTTGATGAAACTGGTGCACCAAGAGAATTCTTTCATATCATGGGAGCAAGTATTTTCATCTGAAAAAACACTGCTAGAAATATTTGACTAATATGAGTAGATTCCATACTAAGAATTGTTCTGAACAAGCACAGAAATCAAGACACTTGAATATATTCTTCAAGCAATAAAAATAAAGGCTATAGATTTATGAGCACTACTAAAGTGAAGCCACTAGACACAATAAACGAAAAAAAGCATTTTGTATTCCTCCAGGAAAAAGTGGAACTATCTTAGGCAGTTTGGTTTCTTCAGTATTTTCATCCATGGTATGGAGTCACTATCAAGAGTCTGAAACACTAAATCTTACACTGATGAGGACAGGGATAATTTTAATGTTCAAAAACCTTAGCAAAAAAAAACTCAAAACACACCACACTTGCAATTTACTATCAACTCCATTGCAAGCAAGATTCCTTTGCTACAGCTGATCGATACAATTCCGTCTTCAGTACAACATTATAAAACTTCACTGGCTGATAAAAAGAAGGATAAGCCACTGGAGAACCTCAGCTGTCATCTTAATGCCTCATGCCCTGCAATTAATCAGGGCTTGAGCACAGGAAAGACTCTGCCTCCATTTCTTTACAAGTCACCTTTGCAATAAACTATAGGAAGGGGCACTAGCAATTACTTTATAGCAAAACAAAGTCATTTTTCATGCATCATTAAGCAAAACATAAAGCTGATGGGAACTCATATGACATGTTTTGAACCATAATGGTTTTATGAAGTCAATTTTCAGAGGGGAAAGAAATAAATCTTTTCAGTGTCTTTGAAAGTCTAAGGAAAAGGACTGGAAGATTCATTAAGGGCAATATTACTTCCAAATGCAAAGCTTTGAAAGACTGGTGATTTAAGTGAAATATAAGTAGTTACATTTGGTTTTGAAGGAACTGGAAAGCTTACTTTATGCAGTTATGCTGTATATACCCACGCAACTGGATGTTCCATTAAAACACAGATAAATTAACAGTTTTAAGTACTTAAACAGCTGAAATGAACATACAGCACGAACAGAGTTTTACAAGTGGTCCAAACCCAAATAAATTCCCAGCTCTTACCATCAAAAAAACTTTTGGCTCTCAGGTAGCTGACGCTAAGCCGAAGCACAGACAGCTTATCCAGTTTGGCGATGACATCTTGAGGGAAAGGCAGGAGGCTGGCCAAGCGGTCCAACTCCGCGTTCAAGCGGTCCCTGTGCCTCTTGGATGGATTGGACTTGACTCCTTCAGCTGGAGATGGCTTTACTCTGTGGCAAAAAAAAACAACAAAAACAACCAAACACAATATAAATAGAAATTCCTTGCCAAAATGAAGGTAAATATTTGCCAAACCTAATGTTACAAATTGTCTTTTAACAAGCAAAATGTTTTTCCCCAGTGACTTCTGTATCCCATCAGGAAAAAAATATAATAACTATCTAAGATGGTTTAACACCCCCCTCCAACACACACACTGTTAAATGAAGCAGTTGGAGCTACAATGGCTATTTGAACAGATAATGAACATTTGAAACCTTTGAGATTCAATGTTTTTCATAAAAAGCATCCTACACTTTCACTCAAATGTCACTTGAGTTCTTCCAAATGTTCATATTACAAATAAGTCAATAACTTTTAGTAGTATTTGTGTACAAATGCATTTGACAGTACAATTTTTCACCTCAATTACAATTTTCCACAGGTGTCCTTAATTTTTGTCAATATTTGGAAGAGGCTATTGTCAGCTGAATACAACAAAAGTTTTAGTGATTTGTTAGACAATGAAACTGCACAAGAAAACAAGTGACAGAGCTTAGTCAGCAGGTAAAATCTTGGTACCAAACACTATCCAACTCATCCTTTAAGTCACCTCTCAGCTGAAGGCATTTCATGCGAGTACAGCATAACAAAGCCATGGCTTTGTACCTTACAAAGTACAATTTTAAAAGCTTTCTGCTATGAACTACATAATGAAGTTTTTGCAAACTTGCTATTTTCCATTCATATCCACCCTGAGCTCCAATTCCAGATACTCACACCTTCCCATGCACGCAGAAGTCTCAGAACAGGTTTAAACCCCTACTCATTTAAATTATAATTAGTCATTACAAGCCAATACTGAAACAAAATAATTTATCTACACAAGCCATAGTAGATTTTACGATATTTATTAAACAGTTCTCTAATTAAAGAGTGATCCGTTCCCACTTTTCCAGTATTGCAGTTCTACTGGAGACCTGCAGCACCCATTAATTTGTGCTGCTCTCATAGGAACGTTGGTACTGCAGGATATATCACTTGCAAAAAATAATGAGCATAAAGACTTTTAGCAGTTAATTTTTTCAGCATTTCATTGAGTCTGCTTCCAAGCTTCATCCTTACATCAATTTTACGATGAGAAATTGCAAAAGCTCCCACAATTAGTTTTGCCACTGCTGAAAGGAAACCGTACTGAAAAATAATTTCATTTTGTATTTACAGTTAAATAAGTAGGGATAGAGTAGACATCCCCCTTTTTAGCTTGTTTTTACTCCATGTTTCAATTACACTTCTTGTTAGTTTAAATTCAAGCCTTTCTTTTCACAGGCATTGCTTATTCAAGTGTCACTTGTCAAAACCTTGCACTTAAGTCTGGCTGTGTGTTCCCTACCACTACGGCTGCCCTTCTGCACGTTCTGGGAACTTCAAGAGGCCGTAATACAACGTGTTTTTACACACAGAAATATAATATATCAGCAGCAACTACTCTCCATAGATGGATAAAGTTAAAACTGCTACAGGGTAAAGATTATCTAGGACACGGTTCTAGTAGAGTTTTATCCTAAAAACATTGGAACAGTGGGAAAAACGGATCAGGAAACATGAAAATTCTCTCTCTTGAAAAAAACATAGGTTCATCATCAACCACAATGGATGACAAACTAAAGATTTGGTTAGATAGTGCTTTCGTCACAGACCCTGACCAAGACCTGCAGCTCAGCATATCCCCAAGTGAATATTAAACTTAAAATAATTTAGTACAGCTTTCTTCATATTCTCTTATTCTAGCAGAATATTCATTTGTACAAGCCATTTGATTAACACAATTTAAATATAACCCTAACAAAATAAAGCTCAAAATCACCAAACATTTCAAGTAACATTAAAAGCTACTTCATAAATATTTTTATGCATTCAACTGCCATAAATGTAGAGACAGAATAATAAAGTCCAAACTTTAAGCAGATAACAGTCACATAACAATCAGTGAACAGCTCACTACTATCGAATCAAACAGGTCTGCTTCCAAAAAGTGGAGGTCCTCATGGAAACCACTCAAAACACAACCTTTTCCAAGTAAATTAGCACTAAGTACCAATTTTTCCATTTTCACAACTATCCTGTGCTTTCCTTAAAACTTCCATAAGCACTTCAACAAGGTAGGTGAAACTATAGGCAACTGCATAGTTACCTCATCAAGTTGTTAGACCTAATTGTTTTTGCTTTACTTACTAACGATTTCTCCGTCTTATTTCCAACTAGTTCAAAGCATAAGGTTTTTTCTAAATATAGCATACAACATTTCTGAATACTAAGTTACTGCCATTCCCAGCATAAATCTTACCGTGTTCTCCCCCTTCAAACCAAGCATTGATTTTCCCAAATCTTCCCTATTGTCACCCAACTAAAATCCATTCTATAAAAACGGATCCCATAGTGACAAAGGGAGTAAGGGTGGAAACGGCGGGGTGTAAGTAGGAAGCTAAACCTTTTTCCATCCACTTATGTAAACCTTCGCTGCTAAAGACAGACCTAGCTGTGTTGCAGAAAACTATCTTCAAGGAATACTACATGCTATGTCAAGATTAAAACCACGCATGTGTTTTATTTAAAAGGAAGGGAAAAAAAAATAAAAAGACTAAAGGAGGGAATGGATTTTAAGCTGATCTTTCAGTTCTTGATCTTTTACCTTCCACAGGAAATTTGAATTCCCTAATCAAAGGCCAGAGGTCTCTGTACACTCAGTGTCTCCGAACTGAGCTATAATCCTTATCATCCAACAGCTGCAAGACAAGCAAGCACTCTTGATTCTTGCTTTAACAATTCTAAAGGATTTGCCATCATAACATTACCTGACTACTAATTCTCACAGGTCCGCTACAGGCTACTTAATCAGAAGCTCTCACAACACATATTTACCATGTGCCTTCACAGACATTAACAACCCCAAATTATTAAAAAGAAAGTACACAAGTACCCGAGTCTTAATTATTATCGAAAGGCCAAAATAAGTGTCAATATTTAAATGCTAATTAGTATGTTTTAAAGGGAAAGTGAAGCAGTTCTTTGAGAAAATGAAAAGAAAGCATAAATTTATTTTGTTCATAATATGACAACAAAAATTTTGAAGAGAGGGAAAAAAATCCAGCAACCAAGCACTGAAAAGCACGATACCTTATTAACAAGATTGAAGTGTGAAATGAAATCAGGAAATGAAAGAATGTGCAAGAAGAGCACTAAAGATGCAGTGGCATTTTAAAATTTTAAATTTGTTTAAAAAACTATGTAAAAGCTCATCAGAACTGGGCTATTGCTTAGGAAAAAGGGACATAAGGAAGTTTTACATGTCACTGGCTAATGGATTTAATCTTTTCAGCTACATATATTTTTCATATCGTATTTAATAGTACATGCAATAACATATATTATTCTTTTGTATATTAATTCAATGTAGGTCAGATACATAAAATGCATCAGTTACCACTAAGCATGTATTACAATAGCTGACATGGTCCAAAATTCTCTATTTATTTCAGCAACTGAAAAATACTTTTAAACATTTACTCTTTTGTTTCCCCACACCAAAATTACAATTACTGAAAATGCAGCTGACAATTCTTTTGGAAGCAACAGACTATTGACTACTTTGATCAAAAGTTGTTGTCAACCTATCTTGAATGGACAAGAGACCCCTTCCAGTGGCTCCTTCAGCAGGCAATGAAACCAGCAAAGATTTAGGCTACTGAAGGAAAAAAAGCTGTTTTTACTAAAAAAATCTCAGCCAGTGGTGTGCTACTCATCTGATGCTGGGCAACGGTTTGCCCTCCAGCAGTAAGCAGAGTTTTAGCTTGCTTATGGTGTTTTGCTATACAAAGGACACCACAAGAGTGACAGACACAGCCAGAATCAAGAACGAAAGTTTCACACTCAGTTTTAATTTAATATTTCATTACTGTTTAGGATGACAAGCCAAGGCTATTTGGAAAGAAAAAAAACCAACAACAACAAAAAACCCCAAACAAACAAACAAAAAACCACAACCAAAAAACGTTCCTAGCTACTGACCATGTTATCTACATTTGTGTATCCCCACTTTGCTGCAAGTTCTCTTTCCAGAAAGTTTACTTTTGCAAGAAGCATTGACCAAAACCCAACCAACAGAAAAAAACCACAAACCTTAATTTTAAGTTGCAGCCTACATGTAACACACAGGTACCCCAAGACTTGCAAGGTTATCATTTATATATAATAAATTTATTCTACATATAACAGAAGCTTTACCACCTCCATTTCAAATAAGAGGTGCAAACTGCTGTTTGTAGCAGATAATGCTTTACACAGAGGGATCTTTTAATGACGATTTTTCTTTTCTGATAAACTTTCATTTTGAAAGCTTGTTCTGGTGCTTTGTGCTTGTTTGCCTTTAAAAAAATCCATAAACAGTTTCATTTTTAAAATTAAAATATCTCTACACTGCTTTCTGAAGTTACTACGTCTACTCATAATTAAGGATCAACTAGTCAAATGTATTTCTCTGGAGTACTTAATATCATAAATAGCCTTAAGCTAACAGAACAAAACCATATCATAACTTTTTATTTAGTCTGCTAAAGAAACATGGCGTTATGTTTTTTGTGCCTGCATGGTATGGTGCAAATATTTAGACCTCCTCATTCGTTGTCTATAACATTTATACAGTTATGGAAAACAATTCCTAGCCAAACACTGAAATAAACAAAAACAAGGCAAATCAGTAGGAGGCAAAAAAATATAAAAACTACAAAGTGGAGCTACGTTTATATAATATCCTTCACCTAGTGTTAGAATATCTCTATAGTAAAACCCACTTCCGTAAAATTTGCATTTTATCCTTCCTACTCCAATACCAGTATATTAATTCAGCAGTTCAGTTAATCACTGGAGAAGAGGAATTCAAGACCTAAAAAGAATCAGAAAGAGTAGGGGGTCAGCTCTTGCTCCCCCAGTTTGCGTGGGGAGTGACACCCCC